TGATAAAAAGTACACTCTCTAATCTACCTGTGTATTTTCTTTCATTACTTACAATACCGGCTAGCATTGCTGCAAAAATAGAAAAGATACAATGTCGGTTCTTGTGGGGAGAGGTGGAGGGGAAGGGAAGTATCACTTACTTAGGTGGGAGGAGGTGAAAAAGCCCATGAGGGCTGGGGGCTTGGGTTTAAGATCAATCAGGGAGATGAACACTGCTTTACAAGGAAAATGGCTTTGGAAGTTTAATAGGGAAGAAGGAAAACTGTGGAGAAGAGTTGTCCAGGCCAGGTTGGGGGAGACCGGTGGGGGGTTATGCATAGATTGGTAGGTCTAGACCTTATGGGTTGAATATGTGGAGAAAAGGGCTATAGCAAATTTTTCGAGTGCTTGAACTGGAAATTGGGCAGTGGTGACAGAATCAGATTTTGGGATAATATTTGGATGGGCGATTCTAATTTAAAGGATCGTTTTTCCTTCCATTTTTGCAACTGCTATGAATAAGAAGGTCTTTGTGCATGAGCTGTATATGAGATCTGGTACGGGTGGGGATTGGTGTGTGCAGATGGGAAGAAACCTTCAGGACTGGGAGGTGGAAGAGTATTGCAATCTACTTAATTTACTGGCTGGCCTCAGTCTGGGGAACGGAAAGGATGAAAGAATTTGGAAACTGAGCAAACATGGAATTTTTTCGGTGTCCTCTTACTACAAGCATTTAACTGGTCAGGGGATTGGGGAGGTTGGCTGTTTTCTGCATAAACAATCAGGAGATCGAATGTTCCACCGAGAGTGGCTTTTTTTTGCGTGGGAAGCTGCCAGGGAGTGTATTTTAACCATTGACATGCTTAGAAGGAGGGGGAACATTCTGATTAATAGATGCTTCTTGTGCAAAAAAGAGGAGGAGACTTGTAATCATATTTTGCTGTGGTGCCCTGCTGCCTATGACATTTGGTCTATGGTTTACGAATTATTGGGGTTAAACTGGGTGGTGGCTGGGAGTGTGAGGGAGGAATTGTGGGCTTGGGATGGTGTGTGTAACAAAAAACAAATTGTTACGGTTAATTCCACTTTCTGTTTTTTGGGTGGTGTGGAAGGAAAGGAACTTGAGAACTTTTGAAGGTATTGAGAAAGAGTTTACTGTTATTAAAGATAACTGGATCCATTCTTTTGGTTCTATGCTTTTGGGTCATGATATTAAAGAGCTCGAGGATTTTGGAGCTGTTTTTGATATTTTGATTGACTTGTAATTACTAATATATGGATGTACCTACTTGCTACTTTTGTTAATAATACTGTTTTACTTTTAGTTTTTAAAAAAGTTACCTCTACAATAGATCAATTGTCTATTTTTTTATTGTTTTAAGGAGTAAGTGGGAGATAGTTTACAGTTAACACAGTGATCTAGTGGTTAAAATCCGAATACCTCACGAGTTCAAACTTCATTGAAAACATAGAGCTTGCCATAAGGTATTATGGGTTATGCATGAGAGACCCATAATGCTTAATTTAGTGGACTTGGGGCTTAAATTTATAGTGGAGTTATAATGAAAGTTGGGTTTCTTCTCAGTGAGTTATTATGATTTAGGCCAAAAAAATATTTCATGATAGTTAGGTTCCTTTAATTGGAGTAGACAGAATAGGACAATAACCAGTTTAACCTTTGTATTCATAAAAAAAGTGAGAATATTCTAAATATTTCTAATATATTTTATGAAGTGGCAAACAAAACTTTATAGAATCTTAATAATGTTGATAGCAAGAGGGTAAATTGTATATTAGTCAATAATTTATAGTGTCTTTTGTTAAGTTTTAAAAATGAGGAGTTTATATGTAATATAACAAACCTTTGGTGGAATATTATAGTTAGCCCTACTAAAAAAGTACTTTAAAAGCATGGATTCCAAACAACACATTCATCTGTGTGTACTCAAGTTTGACGTAGCCAGATGTCATCATCTTCCCCCCACTCAATCATCAGGTTTCTCCCAATCTCCATCCCTCACACCACCTGACCACTGCTTTTGAAATAAAAAGTCTATGTATATTCATTAACTACGGGCACCAAGAGGTGCCAACCCGTACACAAAAGATATTTACACATCCAAATTCAACAAGGTTATCAAAGTCCTCAATAGCGGAAAACAAATTACCAGTAACCAGACAACCCAAATTGTGATACCAACTTTCTCTAATTCTGTTAACCTCCTCCATTACTCTCTTAAAAGCCCTTCTATTTCTTTCTTCCCACACCACCCGGAAGATTGTAAGAAGAATAAGACTCAAATGTTTTTTCCTACCACTCTGCTCCCTTCCAAGCCCATAACTCATTCCTTACACTGCCCAACATTACTCAATTAACACCTAAGATCCTATACTTTGTTTTCTATAACTCGGTCACAAAAGGACACTGAAGTAGAATATGATCACAAGTCTCATCTGCCTTTTTATAAAGGTAGCAGCCATTGACAATGATTTTACCTTTTCGTATCAACTTATCTATAGTCAATATACTTCTACACCTGCTTCCCAAACAAAAAATGCAATTCTGGGTGGAACATTTACTTTCCAAATTTGTCTGAATGAGAATTTATCCTCCTCAACAACATTCTTTACCAAGTATTTGTAGAAAAATCCAACTGAAAATGACCGGCTTGTAGTTTAGACTCCAAATAGGTTGATCATCCTTTTCCTCTGAACCTCCAGACGACAATGATCCTAGAAGTGGCACATAGTCATTTACCTTTCAGTCATTAAAATTCCTAAGAACTTCCACTTGCCACTTCCTCCTCCCTGTCATTGGGATTCCTTAGATCCACTTGGCTGTTAACCACTGAAAAACAATATCCAGAAGCATCTTTCCTTCCCACCAAGGAAAACAGAGCAAGGTGCTGGTTCCTAAGGAAAGAAGAGCCCTACTAGATGTCTTTCCAAAATTGAATACATTACTCAAACTCCTCCCGTTAATACCTACAAAGACTTGCACCATAAGGGCCTCTTGACCTAAACTTATGCAAGAAACTATTTAAGGATCTGATGAAAATTTTAATGAATCCACCAAATTTTGCCCGGGACAATTAGGAGTCTAAGAGTGTTGCATTAACTCCAAAATTCTACTGAGAAAATAATATTCTTGAGTTTTAAAAGTGCATTTAAATGTATGAACATTTACATGTTACACAGAAATAAATATATGGGAACTTTGCTGGCTTATTGTTGACATGGTACAATGTGTTTCTCCTTTCACATTTTATCTCCTTGCACCAGGTATTTGTTTTGTGGATTATCTTTTCTTTTTTGAAGTTATTTTTTGAAATGTCTTTTTTGAAGTTATCAGTGACTATGTTATATCTCTTGCTTACATGGTAAAGTTGCTGTGTCGTATTACATATTCCTAAGGGTTCCAAATCGAGCACATCATATCCTGCTTTATCAGTTCCTGATCATTTATTCTTTCAAAAGATATAGACATTCCAATAATGGGAAATGGGAAAGGCCCTAGTTTTATGGACTATTTTCTTTCTTAAAGTTATTAGTCACTAAGTTATATACTTTGCTTCATGGTAAAACTGCTGTACTGTAATACATATTCCTAATGGTTCCAAAACAAGCACATCATATTTTGCTTTATCTGTTCATGATCATTTGTTTTAGCAAAAGATGTAGCCATTCCCTTAATGGGGAGATAAAGAAGGCTCTACCCATAGGGAACAAGTGTGCTACATTCTCTTCCTTTTCCTTTTCTCCTTAAATTGTTATTATCTCTCTTTTGGTCATTGGCAAGTTTTGGGTTCTGTTTATTTATTTACTTTTAACCCAAGTGTCTTCCTAGTACAGGTTTAAACGGTTGACGGGTCGCAATGAGGTGGCTATCTTTGCTAGAGACTATAAATTCTATTCACCACGACACAAGTACAGGCGTGTCACATCATCTAACATTCCTGGTTTGCCTGTATGTTTGAACCCTTTCCTTGCATGTTAGCTTAATGTGCTTCATTTTCCAAGACACGTAGTTATAAACATATATACTCCATGTTTTTGGAACTTAACTATAATGTTTAAATACAATTGTCTTCTAGAATGGGACTAATTACACAATTGAAGCAGAACTAGTCTCACACATAGTGGGATCTTTTTAGAAGGTTGCTTGAATTCTGTTATTTGAAATTTAGAACATAGGATATGCTATTTTCATTAACTTCTAATGTGCATTGCCAGCCAGATTTAGGGTGATGGTAATTGTTTTTCATCCTATATTGTTTGTAGACATTTCCTGGTTCAGATAATCCTTCAACAATGACTAGTTCACAAGGATTTCGCTCTGGGAGTGAGGTAAGAGATGTTCCCACTCAACTCATTTGGGAATGTGTTTTTTGCTTCATTGCATATGAATTGGCATGGACCAAATTAGGTGGTGGTGTTCTCATAAGAGTTATTTATTTACATATGGTTATGTACGTGTCAAGAATGATCTTAATGTATATTCTATTAAATATTATAATTCTATATATTTCTAGAACAAAAAGGAAATAGACAATAAATTAGAATTAATTACAAAATGTCACGCCTCACACTCTTTCGGGGTGCAACTGGCGCACACGAATTCATAATATTTAAAAATTAAATTCTTTCAAAAAAAATATTTAAGAATTAAATTATATCAACATATACATATTAATTTTACACAATGTTTACAGAAGTGTTTATACATCGCTTTTCAAGTCTTACAAAATATTTTGCATACAAGACTCTAAATTAATATAATAGTTTGAAAAGAGGTACACAAAATAACCGTAGTGTCTTCGTGGATATATTATAGCACTTAAAACTCTTCAAAATCTAGTCTCCAAAATTTTCACTTAAGTATTAACAGTATTTGAAATGGTCATAATTTTAATGAGATTCACAATCCCAATAAGTAGCACACTATAATATAATAGTAACAAGGATTTTAGAGTATTACAATAAATCATAATATATATTTATTTTTTTAAAAGTTCATAGCACTTATGGCATATATACTTTTCAAGCTCAAAATCATAAAGCACATATATATTTTTCGTAAGTTCGAAAATCATTTTTGCAACATTGTACGATGAGTCATATTTTCACCATTATCATGGAGGGCACAACGGGCTCCCACTATATTGTGGATAGACACAAATTGCTCTAATGGGTAAGCTTCTCTCCACCAAAGTGAATGGGTACAATAGACTCCCACCATAAAAATGGATGGCACAAATGGACTCCTATCATAATATAGGTGGGCACAAACGGACTCCATTCACCAAAGCGAATGGACACAACAGACTCCCTTCACCGAAGCAGATGAGAACAAAGGACTCCCTCCATAGTAAAGGTGAACAAATATCGAAAATTCACTTTGCATATATTTTTCGAAAATTCAAACATAACTTTTAGCAAAGTATCCATCAAAATTACCCTCCAAGGCCGACACCTAGCTTGCAACGTGTCCCAATTTTGTCTAAAGAATGACACCTAGCCATCAAGGTGTTCTACATGCATCCATAATTCATTCAAGTGATGTCACATGATCTTTATGGTGTCCATAATTCACCCAAGTGATGATACCTAGCATTAAGTGTCCATCATTTGTCCAAGTGTCCCAAATTCATCAAGGGGTGAAACCTATCTTAGGGTGCCATCATCGACCAAGAGAAAGTGACTAGTCAAGAGTATTTCTCTCATCCGGAGGAGAATTCCTCCCTTTCTTACACTCTCCAACTTTTCTCTCCCTAAAGGAAAATTCCTCCCTCTTCCATCTCCAACTTCTCTCTCACTTGAGGGAAAATTCCTCTCTCTTTCCACTCGTCCAACTTTTCTCTCACATAGGGGAAAATTTTTCATTCTTCCATTCTTCCAAATTTTTCTCTTGCCAGAGGGAAAATTTCTCCCTCGTCCACTCTTTTAATTTTGCTCTATTGGGGGAAATCCTCTCCTTTTTTAACTCTTCCAATTTTTCTCTCCTAAAGGAAATCCTCTCCCTCTTTAACTCTTCCAAATTTTTTTTTCCCTCCTGAGGAAATTCTCTCCCTTTTTAACTCTTCCAAATTTTTTTTCTCTCTCCAGGGAAATTCTCTCCCTCTTTAACTCATCAAATTTTTCACTCACGAGTGGAAATCTTCGCCCCTATTTAACTCAAGAATAATGCAAATCATGCCAAAATCACCTCAAATGTATATTAACCTAAGAATAATGCAAAATACCACAATAATGCAAATCATGTTTTTAGATTGTTACACAAAGGGTGTAATTTACTTTTATGCCATTTAACCTAATTTACCATTTCTTTAACACTTTTCGTCAAGTTATAGAGTAGATGTTGTCCATCCCTATCTTACCAATAAGAATTTGAAATGTTTGGTTACTTAAATTTTTAGTTAACACATTAGTCAGTTAAGAATTGGTAGACATGTATCAGGTGCATATAAAAGTCGTTATTAAATTTTTCTTTAATAAAGTGTCTATTGATGTGTTTGGTTTGGTTATATTGCACCAGATTGTGAACAATGCTCATGACTGATTTTTTGTCATAGTATAAATGTATAAGGTTTTTCATTGATTTTAAGGTCTTCTAAAATTTTCTTTATCCATAATAATTCACATATCTTGAAGAAAGTATAATATCGTATTGTAGATCTTTCTACAACTGACCCTACATAATCTGCTTCAATATGGACTTCTACCAGTAGTTTATCAATCTTCTTGAATATGTTCCTTTTTCAGGTGACCTTTAAGGTAATACAGTACTTTATAAACTATTTATAGGTGATGTTTAATCTTGTGTGAGATAAGTATATCAATCTCTCAACTAATCTATGATAAATTTTCTTGTTTACTGACATATCTTTTTCTAGTATTCATAATTTATTATTAGGATTAATATGAATGCTAGTTAGTTTGCATGATAATTTGCTAGTATCTCTTTATAATACATGAAAGTATTTATGGGTGAAAAATAAAAACTTTGGATTTTGAGTGGGCAAACTTCAACTTCTAGAAAATACTTCAATTTTTCAAGTTCTTTGCTTCAAATTCTTTGGCAAGACATTGTTTTAGTATCAATTTTTTTTTCCTCATCATCTCTTGTTACGATAATCTCATCAATGTATGATAGGATGGTTGTAACTCCCCTTGTCTATGAGTATTTGATGAACATAGTATGGTCTCCTTGGGCTGTTTAAATTCTAGATCTATGGTCAGCTTTGCAAACCTGCCAAACTATGTTCTTGACGATTGTTTGTCCATATATAACTTTCTTTACTTACATACCCTATCTGCTTTATAGTCATTTTTCATAAGTCTCACTTTATACTTCTATTCCATATGTCTGTTTATAGTCATTTTTCATAAATCTCATTTTATATCTTTCAATTGTCTTATCTGCTTTATATTTGGTAGTAAAGATCCATTTGCATCTCACCGATTTTTTGCCTTTTGGTAGATTCACCATTTCTCATGTCTGGCTTTTCTCAAATGCTTGCATTTCCAAAGTGTATTCTTCAATTTTTCCCAAAGTAATGTTATGAATAAATTTAGTATTCAAATTTCTGAGAAAATTTTTATAAAATGATAAACATTAATCAAATGACACAAGCTGTGAGATAGGATAAAGAAGTGTTTATTTTATTCTCTTGTATCTTTACAAAGTGCAATATGTACATCTCACATTATATTGATTTTTTGAGACTTACCTCAATTTCAGGATCAATGTTGGATTCTTAAACCGAATTAGCCTTAGTATTCAACATCTTCTTCCTTGTTTACATATAAGAAACCTAGGGTTTGATAATGATCTCTTGAGTAGATGAATTTTCTGGTGAATTTTCTTATGGATTCTAAAAGATTTCTTGTGGTGATGGTGGTGGAGTGTGTGATAAAGAGTTGTCATAAAGGTGGTAGGATAAAGTCTGTTAAGAATTCCATATTGTTATCTTCCAATATTGACTCCATTTGAAAATAAGATTGAATTAAGTAGGTTTTTTGTTCAACAAATATAACATTTGCGGATATATAGAAATTTTGGGTTGATGGATGGTAACATTTGTATATATTTTGAGAAGAGTACTTCACAAATACACATTTAAGTGCATAGGGATCAAGTTTCCCTCTTTGATGGAAATACATATGAATGAAGGTAACAAACTTAGATATCTTAAGGACCAAATGGTTTGTGATACTTACTATTAGGTGAAATTTTTTGAAGCGTTTCTAGAGGACTTTTAAAGTTAAGAAAATTGGTGTACAGATGGTCAATAATGTAGGTGGTGATGAAAATGGCCTCATGCATTATTGTTATGGGACGTTTTGGGAGAAGAAAGCTCTGGAGGCAGCTAAAAAATGACAATTCTTGCGTTCCATTATTCCGTTTTATTGTATAGTATAGATGCAGGATGATTCATGGAGAATTCATTCCTGGTGGAAGAATGATGAAAGTGTGTGGTTAAAAAAACTTTAGCGTTGTCAATGCAAAATTATTTTTATGCCAGTTTCGAATTGGATTTTTATCATGTTGTAGAAGTGAGTTATGATGTGGTTAACATTAGATTTGTTTTTGAGTAAAAACAGTCAGGCGACTTAGTGATCATCAATAAATGATATAAACCATCGAGTTTTAAAATATTAGGTGTGTACATTGGTCATTGAATATTACTATAAATTACTGAAAATGGAACTAAATTTCGTTTATTACTAGTGAAAAATGTCACATGCTTATGTTCTGCAAACTTGCATATATCGTAGTGTAAATTTTCATGTTTGGATTCTTAAATAATGAAGAAACATAACTTTTAAGATGGAAAATGATGAGTACTCAATTCTTTTATGATGGAGTCAAATCTTATATGTGGAGTTGGTAGTAATAGTAGAGAAGGGATCCTCATGTGCATCTAAGTAGTAGAATCCGTTTTTGTCTTCAATAAGTCCAATCATCTTTCTCGAATTCCGGCTCTAAAAGCTGCAGTGAGAAGAGTCAAATATTAATTTGCAGTTCAAGTTTTGTGATAACTTATTGACCGACATAACATTAGCACACAGTTTGAAAACTTGTAATACATTTTTAAGGATAAGGTAGGATTAAACTTAATATCGCCCTTGCTTGCAATAGTATTAAAGAAATTATTATGCAGTGACAATTTTTATTACTTGGACATGAAATATATATACAGATGGAAAGTTTAGAAGTATTGATCGTATAATCCGTGATTTTTTAGTATATGATTAAGAATTTTTAAAAGGTTTATCTGAGACATTTAATTTATGGGAGGTAGAAACCGTACCTGAGTATGGCAGTAGATTGGTGCTTGTTTGTTTCTCCATAGGCTCAAGTCCTTAATATTTCAACTCCATTTTGTATTTACTAAAATCTAAAGCTACCATGTTTTTGCTCCAGTAACTAGAGATGTTACATCCATTATCATTTAAAAATTGTATGGTAATTAATGTCGAAAAGCAAAAATTACTGAAAGGATTTTACCTAAAACACGTGATTGCATAAGGAGGGAATCTGCAACTTGCGACTGATTTGTTTATACTTGGTTTAATTCACTGAGGCAACTCAGACTATGAACTTACTGAATTAACTCGGACCATGAATAGGGACTCACTATACACAGGGGACATGACAGGAGTAGAGGGTCATTCTTTAGCTTTTATCTTTTGTCGCTCATAGCGAGTACCATTTGTCTGTAGCTGACATTATGCCTAGATATGGCATTTGCATCTAGTTACGAGTGGAGGCGTCACGACAGACAATAATGGAACAAAGAGGATCGTGTCTGTGTCTAGTTGCAGAGGCATTTGGTGGTGCGATTGGTGCGGAAAAGATTGAAGTGCGTGACCAAGAGAGCTGCGTGGCGGCTAGGGCATCGCCGGTCAACAATGACCACACGAGCAGAGACTACTCAACAACAGAGAGGGCAATATCATGCATCAGTGATAGGGGTGAAGTTTGTGGTGTAGATGCATCTGGTGCAAAGGTGAAGGTGTCAATGGCCGAGTAATGCTTAGATGGTGGCTGTTAGGGTTGCTTGTCTAGGTGGACTGCACGATTGTGTGACCGTATCTGGAGTTGTGCGCATCTGGGTGGCAAATTGGATTGGGCAATGAAGACTGGTCTCGGTGGAGATGGCCGGCTATGATGTCAGCTTGTGGTGAAGGCAATCGGTCTGTAGTGGACGGTGGGCAGTGTTGTGGTGACCAACAATAAAAGTTGCTCCTCCCAGATTTTCTTATTTTTGGCAATAAAGGCTAAATACGATTTGTAAAATAGTTTAAATTTTTTTAATCTAAAACTCTGATAATATGTTAAGAATGGTTTTAATATGTATTTTACTGAATATTACAGCTATATATATAAGTTTTTAAAACGGAAAAGGAAATAAATAATAAATTATAATTAAGTAAAACAAGTGTAATTTACCTTTATATCTTTTAAACTAATTTGTTAATTTTTTAATGGTATACATGCACACATATCTGACATTGGTTATTCTTGGTAATAAAGATCACCAACTGCTTCATTGTTAGGAAAAAATAACTATATTTACTATAAGATTTTGGCTTCTCTTTTTAATAATCTGCTCTTTGCATATTTCTTGAGTGGCGGGAAACGACACCAAGAGTCTCTTTTACCAAAAGCACTTATATAAATAATTGAGGTGACTCTAGGAAAGATCAATTTCAAAGATGTAGTGCTTGATGTATGATGTCATCACAATATGATACGAAGAGAAGCGATTCTTTTGATTTACTTCCCTGATCATGTTTCATATATGATATTCTCAATTGTTGCTTGAATTGTGCCCACCAGATTCTTGTATTCATTAATCACAGGTGTAATTTTTTTCGGATTTGCAGCCTCAAAATCAGCAGCAAAATAAACATCACCTACCATCTCTGTCGCATCAGCCTCAGTTTCATCCTATTCACCAGAACCATCATCAACCAATTCACCAGAGCCAACATGCAGCTCATTTCCACCAAAATCATCAATGCGGACCACCTTCACACATCCCTGATATTGCTCATGCTCATCAATCACCGACCATTTCTCAACATATGGCTTGCTTACAACCTCTGGCGGGAGGTCATGTTGGAGGGCGATTGCATGTAATGGTGAGTTTTTTATGGTTGGCCACATCATGTATGCTTTTTATTTTTTTGTAAAGCTTAAAGTTTTTCTTTTGCAATTATCTTCCGTTGGAAACACTGTACATCTTCACATTATTTTATGATAATAAATAAAATTGTTTGTTGATATTGTGGTACAAATGGGTACTTGCTAACATAAGTAAGAGGAAGAAAAATGTTGGGCTGCTGACACACTAATACATATTAGTTCATGGTTAGCACATCTGTTGGTACTGTTGTGCTGAACATATAACACATGGTAGTTGTATTTTGCTTAAACACGGTTAAATTGTTAAGTTCTTCAATTTGAGCCTTTTGTTTTAAGATAGGTGGTCGACCAAGATGGACTGTGATCAATCATATGATACTATTTTGATTTAAGTTTCTCAATGAAAACTTGGTAACTCGAATTGCAATTGATTTTGTAAAGAATGAGATAAATTGAATTTGACAGGTAAATTGCATCTGAATCTAGTGACTAGTTGTTTATATTGGTATCCATAAGGCAAACTAAGGGAAGTTAGATATTAAATTATAAAACCTTATATCAACTTGAGAATGCCCCAAGAAGTGGTGCATGAATTTAGTTGTAGTTTATAATTTTGAGCTATAGAAAATCCAACTAAAAGAAATAGATGGCCAGGTGTGTGGAAATTTGGTTTTACTAGAAACCTCAATGAGATTAATATAAATCTGATTTTTGTTGTTTAGGCACAAGATCTGAGTTCAGAATTTGAACCTTAAGACTTCAACCCATGTGATTATGCCTTATCCCATGCTCTCTAGATGGTATCGCTTTTTCTAAGGTGAAAATGTTTAAACAGACTGAAGTCTTCAATAGAATTAACACCAATGAAATGCTCTAGCTTACAGATCATAGTATTATCTCCTGGCACTATTTGGTATGCTTCTAAAGTTTAGAGAGTAATAATTGTGGGAGTAAAATATATATTTTATTGAATATTAGGACCTTATATATACAAGTTTCATGAGCAATAGAAGGAAATACATTTAATTACAATGAGAAGAGTATTTTACTAATATATATTTACCCTGCTTACTATATATTTTACATTTTTCAAAACTATCTATCAAGTTGATGTACATATATTATTGAAAAATACTGAGCAACCTTGTATTATTATTTTTCTCTATATTTACAGGCTATTCCCTTCACTATATGTATACACTTTCTGTTACATAAGATTAGGAAAGAATCTAGGGTTAATTAGTCAATCTTCTAAACTTTAGGATCTGTTTATTACCCTTGATTTTCTATCCTAAAAATCCTCTTATAATAAATCATCCACGATTTCCTACACTCTCCCTCAAGCTGGTGAATAAAGGTCCACCATTCCTAACTTGTTAATGTTCTCATGAAATATGTTATTATATAGCCCTTTTGTCATTACATCTGCTAGCTAACACCCTATAGGAACATGTAGTGTACAAATTAGACCACTGTTTAACTTTTCTTTAATAAAATGTTTATCTATCTCGATGTGCTTCGTGCAGTCACGTTGCACAGAATTCTGGCAATGCTTATAGCTGACTTGTTATCACAATATAATCTCATAGGTCTGCTCCATTAAATTTTCAGGTCTTTTAAAATAATCTTGACTCACATTAATTCACATACTCCTGTTGTCATAGTTCTGAACTCAGCTTCTGCACTTGACCTTGCTACTACACTCTATTTTTTTACTTCTCCAGGAAATTAAGTTCCCTCCAAGGAATATACAATAGTCCATGGTTGATCGTCTGTCAACTGGTGATCCTGCAAAGGCAGCATTTGTGTATATTGTAAGGTCAATATTTGATACTTTCTTGAATAGAATTCCTTTGCCAGATGTGCGTTTAAGTAATGAAAGACTCGATAGGCTGCCTGTAGATGAACCTCTCTAGGATCATGCATAAACTGACTAATGACACTAACCGAGTAAACTATGTCTGGTCGAGTATGGGCAAAGTAAATGAGTTTTCCAATGAGCCGTTGATATATCTCTCTATCCACTGTTTTGTCTCCAAAAGCTTCACCTAGTCTATGATTCTGTTCAATAGGAGTTCCAACCAGTTTGCTAGCCATCATTCCTGTTTCCTTGAATATATCTGTAACATATTTTTGTTGAGAGATAAAAATTTCCTGTCTAGATCGAACTCCTTCAAACCCAAGAAAGTATTTTAACTTTCCTAAATCTTTTATTTCAAATTCTTTGGCTAGTCACTCCTTCAAAACTTTCTTTTCTACCTCATCATTTCCTGTCACTATGATGTTGTCTACATACACTATTAATATCGTGACTCCTCTTGAAACCGAATGCTTGATGAAAAGTGTATGATCTCCTTGACTTTGTTTGTATCTATTAGCTAGCATTACCTTGGCAAACCGTCCAAACCAAACGCAAGGTGATTATTTCCTATATAATACCCTTTTTAACCGGCAAACCTTGTGATCATCAACACCACTGAACCCTGGTGAGATACTCATATAA